TTCTATCCGCGATGTGCTTGTATGCAAACCCGGCTTTTATCCGCGACTTTACGGTATAAAATTCAGGACAACTTCGGGGTGCCATATCGGTTACCATGGCAACAGAGCGAATTTTCATGGTATTTCGGGCGTTATTTTGAATTCTTTGGAAAAAAATTGTGAGGAGAAAAATTCCCACCATGTGGCCAGCCTTGGCGGTGAACATGGTGAAGGGTGTCCGATTTTGGGCGAAAATTATTTGGCAGCACTGCATGTGTGTGGATTCCTGTTGCAATCGCAACTGCAACTGATCCTGTGCAGCACACACTGTCCTCGCCGCAGACACAGACTCCAAATACTCTCATACCCGATCAGGGTTGCGTGAGTACCGCACACCCGTCGCCTCGCTGGTGCACGTACTATTGTAACGCTCATGCTAGCCAAAACTGTACTCGCACGAGTGACAGCATCCGCATACAGCTTTTCCAGATTATCAGCATGCCTGCAGAGACCATCAAGAAACACACTGTCCTGACTGGTAATACTACATGCACTGGATAACTCGGTGATGATCTCCATCACGGCGTTCAGGCCGTTCTCAAGTAAAACAAGATTGTACTTGATCTTGTCTTTATCTACATCTGGTTCGTCGATGGCGATGAGTAGTGTGCGGCGAAGGTTCGTGAAGGTTGCCTTCGCCTTCGCCTTGGCGAGCTTCAGCTTCACTGCATCGGCCATCGTCTGAGAGGCTCGAAGGACCAATTTACAATTTTTAGAATCAGACTCGATTCATTATTGTAAGTAAAATAGTTCTCTCTTGTCTCGATGGAGAAAACTCAAAGAACAAAGCAGTGAAGTATGCGGCCAGCAAATCAAGGTACGAGCGTTGCCATGGCGGATCGCCAGCAACGTAGCCAGTGTACGGCGAAAAGAGATAGTGCGGGAAAGCAAGAAGGTACAGTCTGTATTGGCTATAGCGTACCCTTTTGATTTCCGTGATTTTATCACTATAACCAGTGCATCGCTATATGCGATACGATCGATTTTGTTTCTTTTTCGATCGACACATGAAAGGCAAGGAAATACATCGTGCATGGCGTTTTGACAAATGAGCATTCATGCTGCATAGTTGACAGTGGCCGCATTTCCATTAAAAATCTGTTATATGTACAGGGATGAATTTATTGTCATATTTTTGGCATAGCAGTTTCTGCTATACAAAATCACAATTGTGTAGCAGTCTTTGATTTTAATTAGCATTTTTCTTTGAAGGTTGGGTGTTTACCATATTGTCCTTCTTGAGAGTGATGCCTGAAAGCCCATTTGCAAAAAAAACGACTGAATCATACATGTACACGCAGATTGAGATTGCCTGCACCACATACACTGCACTGTATGCATGTTACTTGATAGCACAGGCTAGGCATGGATCGTCTGTATGTATCGCAGTTTTTTTGCGAGTCACGGTGACTTTTGAATAGCAGTTGATCGATTTTGCATCGCAAACTGCGATGCGATACAGGATAAATTCATCCCTGATGTATTACTATAAAAAATAAGCAACGTGAAGAAAGTAAAAACATAGGGCCTTTAAACACACGGCGAGGAGACAATAATTTGATAACCGCAATCAATAAAACTAGCTGAACCGACATTTGTGTACTTTATTCATGCAATGTAAAAACGGTGGAGACGATGTGCAATAAAACGATGAAAATATGAAGAAATGGTGTAGGGAAAAAAATATGGATTCAAACAAGTTTTCGTACAACACTCATCAGGAATCGTCGTTGTACTAAAGGACACTGAAACAAAAATTGAACATGTTCTAGGTGTAATGTACTGCTGTTATGTGTTATCACGTTGTCTTTCCTTCCTTTCTCCTTTGTTCATTTCTCGCTTTGATTGTTTAAAAAATTCACACTTGTAAATTTCACTGTTTTTGCTCTTAGTGTTATTTCTCTAACTTAGATTTTCTATAATAGTTCAATTTTTGTTTCAGTGTCCTTTAGTACAACGACGATTCCTGATGAGTGTTGTACGAAAACTTGTTTGAATCCATATTTTTTCCCTACACCATTTCTTCATGTTTTCATCGTTTTATTGCACATCGTCTCCACCGTTTTTACATTGCATGAATAAAGTACACAAATGTCGGTTCAGCTAGTTTTATTGATAGGGCCTTTGATATTATTGCTACATGTATTTTAAAGTTATCACTATCGCCGATAATAATATAGTGTGTTATGCATGTTTTGATTCTTTGTTGCCATCATAATATCCGATATATCATTACATCCGATAATATTTGTTGTGAACCCTCTGGTTCTCTAAAATGTCAGGAACGAACGACCCCACACGGCATGAGGACAACTATTTATTCTCAACAGTATATTTCACTTCCATCGACTAACAACAATGAAATGAATGAATGAAAAAACACTAAAACCACCAGGTAGTTATAGCGTGAAAATGACAGCGTATATGAGAAAAGCATACACATACCACATACAACTACAGCGCACACAGCAAACCGCACATAGCGCCTGTGACTACACGCCCAGAACGAGTCATCCGCTGCTGTGGCGGTGGCCAAGGTGGAATATTACGAGTGCTCACCATTTCTGCCAACTGAGCAATGGTCTGCGGGCTTGCGCACTTCAGATGAAGCTCTAACGTTGGCTTCACGAGAGCACATACCGGAATGACTGCGGAGCTACCCAGGATCTTGATGGCGAACTTGTCCATCCACTGTTGGCTTGATTCCGCACCGAACGGCTTCACCTCAACAGTCTCAACACCAAGCGTGCCGATCTGGGCTGTCACACACAACACAGTCACTGGGCCACTGCCTCGTGGGACGGACGCTGGACCAGATAGCCTACATTCGATCTCCGTGTTCCACATAGTCTCGCCGCTTACTTCTTCTGTGCTAACCAGTATCGCCCTTCTCATTTTCTCGGCTTCTATGCCTTGCGCTTCTAAGTCTTGCGCCACTAACTCTTGCGCCTCTAACTCTTTTGCCTCTAACTCTTGCGCCTCTAACTCTTGCGCCTCTACGTATTGCGCCTCTACGTCTTGCGCCTCTACGTCTTACGCCTCTACGTCTTGCGCCTCTACGTCTTGCGCCTCTACGTCTTGCGCCTCTACGTCTTGCGCCTCTACGTCTTGCGCCTCTACGTTTTGCGCCTCTACGTCTTGCGCTTCTACGTCTTGCGCTTCTACGTCTTGCGCTTCTACGTCTTGCGCCTCTACGTCTTGCGCCTCTACGTCTTGCGCTTCTACGTCGTTCGGCCAAGACTCCAGCTGCTTCTGAGCTTCTCCGACCGATGTCGCCATGCACTGTACCGACGCAGTGGGCCTTGGATCCGATCCTCCCACTGGCTTCTAATACTCTTCTGACCGCTGCTTGTCTTTAAGCAAAGTCTTACACGCCTTGTCCGGCATCCTCCCGGGCGAGGCAAGCAAATCTCGCTTTGCTTCCTCATAATATGTCCTGACGGCGATGCGCTCGTCCATCTTCTTGAGCTTTTCGTTAAACTCTGTGCGGAGCGCACCCTCTTGCCGTCTAGCACTGCGCTCGTCGAACTCCTCGGTCTGTCGGAGCCTCTTCTCCATGTATTCTCTCAACCTATCGCCTTCAAATCCATACCGAATTCCGTTAGCGATAAAGCTGGCTTCAATGATCCATAGTTCCTGTGCCATGCTCGCTTGGTATCCTGGCGTGGTCGCCACATGTAGTGAACCCTCTGGTTCTCTAAAGTGTCAGGAACGAACGACCCCACACGGCATGAGGACAACTATTTATTCTCAACAGTATATTTCACTTCCATCGACTAACAACAATGAAATGAATGAGTGAAATAACACTAAAACCACCAGGTAGTTATAGCGTGAAAATGACAGCGTATATGAGAAAAGCATACACATACCACATACAACTACAGCGCACACAGCAAACCGCACATAGCGCCTGTAGCGTATACCACGTCGTAAACATCAGCAGTACTGCGGAGTCGGGATACAACTGCATTGGAACGAACACAATGTCACAAGCGAGAAGGCCTTTCACTCTCGAGAACTTGTGGTTTCACAACATTTGGTTATAGTGATATTTTAACTGGATAAAATACGTTTTGCTTTTGATATTTTGTACCAATATCACTGTAGCTGATATATTCTTATATCCGGTCACTCTATAGCTGATACAGACTGTACAAGTGTTACGGAATTTCTCCCCACCCCTTTGCCTTCACACCACACAACCGTTCGTTGACTCATTTGTTGGCTCCAAGAATACTTTATCAAAACAAGAACTGATGGCGAAGAGAGCGGGGGAGAAAAACAACGAAATAATAAACAACCAACAGTAATAAACAGAGAAACGGCGAACACATCGAAACGACCAATGAGCGACCAGTACGTACGATACATGTGACTAGAACCAAGACAACAACATCGTGGACGAATCACACCACTCCCTCACACCCGAACTCGACTCGCACAGCGCATGCTCCACATAATCCACGCATGCGCGACAACTAGTTAGACAAACGCACTCACTCAGGCAGAAGCAGATCCACACTCTCTGACAACGCATATACTACATACACCACGTCATACACATCACACCCATATACTGCACACCCCGCATCACTCCCGTACAGACAGCAGACCATATTTGACACCGGACAAGACAAGACAGCGAGACCAGGAACAACAACGGATGTAAATAATAAGCGAATCGAATTTCGTAACACAAGGAGAAGACTGTAAACTCAGGTTAATGCGAGAGAGGAGTTGGTGATAATCAAGAATGGAGAAAGGAAGATCAGAAGAGATAGAGAGATAGAGAGAGAGATAGATAGAGAGAGAGAGTGAGCTATAGAACGTGGCTGTCTGGTGATCGTATGCAATATCTCACACACTCTCTCTCTCTACCGTTTTCTTTTTCTTTTCTATCTCGTCATTGCGCTGACTCATTAGTTAAACTGCAGATCTATGAATGTCTGTGCACTTACAGTATCTGTAATACTCGTACGCCATCAAATATCCCATCAGGCAGGCTTTGAATTTTATTTCCAGTCAAAACTCTAAAGAGAACGCAAATACAAAAAAAGAGTTTAGGATTATGAAGAGAAGTGGTGGGAGGTTATGATGTTGGCCAAGTTAGGAATCGAAAATCTGATTTTTGTGATAAAAAAGCAAGTGTGGGATCCATTTCGACTCGCATCAAAGATTTAGTTTTGCCACCTCGTAAGAAGCATTTGACTTACAGAGTTTAACTATCGTGAACAATTGTCTCCTGGTCATGTGTCAGTGTCAGAGAAGTACTTACGTATACTACTTGTCGTAAGGTAAAGACAAAGTAGTAAAGTTGTGGAGAAGACGATAAAAAGATTATAAACCTCACAATTGGTCTATACAGGGTGTATGTAGATGGTGTAGACAACCGACGTCTCTAACCGGCCTATAATCTATACATAGCCCGATCTGCTTCCGCTCTATACTTAGGCATACTGGTTGACGGACATCTGTCTTTCTCAAACCAAGTGGATGCAGTATGCGTAAATGTCAACAGAAAGGTCAGAGCAGTTTTCATGCAAAGCAGATAAGCAGTATTTTTTTTGTCGATAATTCAGTCCAAATTAGAGTTTGGCACCCACTGCATATATTCCTTGCTTATCAAAGACCCTATACAACAAGTTATTGTAAAATAGCAATAAAGAAAACAAATTATGTCATTGCCACACAACAACGATGCCACTCGAATCCACGAGCACTGAGGATCTGTGGCAGCACTGGAGGACGAGTCTGCTAAACACTGCACGAAGGTGTTGTACCCACCTAACTAACCAGTGACCGCATGATCCTAGTACACGACGGCCACGAAGCCTTGGATTACGGTGACTCTCAGGAGTGAGATCAAGAAGAAGCACTCTCTATTCAGAACGTATCTATCGACTCGCTCTACTGAATCATGGAGAGCCTACACTGCGCAACGTAACAGTGTCACGGCCAAGCTGCAGTCCGCGAAGTCTGACTATGTGCACGGATACCTAGTAAGAGAGGACACGGTGGATGAGCACGGTGGGGCGATCAATCGCCGCAACTTGTACAATGTGATGTCCCTCCTTAGAACCTCAGTACAGCGTGGTGTTCCCGACTTGGAATGTGATGGGAACACCATTAGCTCTGACCTCGACAAGGCTACAACCTTCAACAACTTCTTCGTTGAGCAGAGCAGGCAGTCACTCCATGGGTGCTCCGGCCCTCCTCCTCCGATCCACATGCCGAGGGTTACTGACAGGACACTCCAGGATGTCACCGCCACTGAAGTGGAGGTACTCGAGCTCCTTCGTCACATTGACACCAACAAAAGCGCCGGCCCGGACGGAATCCCGTCTATTCTCACTGCTGACCGCATCGCCCCTTCCTTAACCCATTGAACGCTGATGACGTCTATAGACGTCATTGAAAATGCCCCCCATGCGCGGATGATGTCTATAGACGTCATGGGATATATCGCGATTTCTGGCACTCTTTGGTGTGTAAAAGCACTGTTAGTCAGTTGGATCATGATCCTGCCTCTTGTACGATAGGTTGTTGGCACGAATCCCGCTTGGAAACACTAGGCCTCTGTTTTTCTTCTCTTTTCAGCGATGTTTCAGCTGCAATTTCACGCATTTGGCGTATTTCACGCAATTTGAGCAAACTTGCGTCCCCTGTTGTGATGCGCTATTCTTTTTAGGGACTGTATCGATTCTGTCACCCTGTGGCTTGGCAATCATTTCCCAAATATCTGAGGACCCCAGTTGCCAGAACCCTGGAGTTTTAGAACTTGCTATTGGCCCTGTTTTTAGCATTATATGCAGAGTACCATAGGCAAGGCCCAGTAGCGCTGAATGGGTTAACAATAAGTTTTCGATCACTCCTTTACCCACGGACAAGTCCCGAGAGACTGGCGAGATGCCATGGTGTCTCCAATCTTCAAGAAGGGCAGTCGAGCCTGTCCCACAAACTATCGTCCTATCTCCCTCCTACCCGTCGTATCAAAACTGCAAGAAAGAATCGCCCACAAAGCTCTCTACAGGCACATCCAACCCCATCTCGCTCCAGAGCAGTCAGGCTTCAGGAAGAACGACAGCACAGAGTACCAAATAAGCCGCCTGCTGCACGAACTTGCTGCGGACCTTGAGGTCAAGAAGTCAGTCCACGTCTGCTTCTTTGACCTCTCTAAGGCCTTCGACCGCGTGTGGCACCGTGGCCTCTTGCACAAGCTTGAACACCATGGCGTAAGGGGTGCAGCATTCCGCTGGTTTGAGAGCTACCTCCTGGGCTGGAGGCAGCGGGTCCGAATCGGAAGCACAGCCTCCAACTGGCTTGATATCCCTGCAGGAGTCCCTCAGGGATCGGTACTCGGCCCGCTGCTATTCCTCATATACACAATGGACCTACCAGCAGCTTGCAACTCCCAAGCCACACGAAGCAGCCTCTTCGCCGACGACACCGCCTTAATCGCTAGCGACCACTCAGCAGCGGCAGCAGAGCGAGCGCTCCAGTGCAGTGTGACTAAAGCCGCTACGTACCTCGACACCTGGCACCTGACCGTCAACGAAGCGAAGACGGTCGTGATGACACTGTGCGGTGCTTTCCCCCTGACAATAACATTGAAAGGCAAAACACTGAACAGAGTCCAGAGCCAGCGACACCTGGGTATCGTCGTTCAGGCCGACCTGAAGTGGAATGCCCACATCCAGCACATCGAGAGCAAAATTGCGCGCACTCTCCACCTCTTGAGACGGATTCGTGGACGTCTTTCACCCACCGCCCTGTCAGCACTGTACACCACGTATATACGCCCCGTTATCGAATATGGTTCTCTGGCTATGTCAGCTATGAATGTTCAGCAACAAGATGCCCTCGAACGTGTCCAACGGCGGGCAGCAAAACTCTGCCTTCGACTCCCCCTCTTCAGTCCTTGCCACCACAGTTCGTTACTCCACCATGTCACTTGGCCTACCCACTCATCCCGCAGGAAGCTCAAGCAGCTACTCTTTGCACACACCATCGCTGTCAAACCATCCCCGCCACACATCCAGCTTGCGACCTCAGGCTGCATCACCGAGCCACGAAGCCGAGAATTGAGGCGTCATCGAGTCTTTGCCCTCCCCACCACCCACTCCACCCGCCTTCAACGTTCAGCCTTGTACTCAGCATGCACTCAGCACAATCACCTGCCACCACACTGTTACTCCCTCCGAGAAATAAATGCATTCAAAAGAGAAGTTACCCCGATCATAGTATCATCTATTTGCACATGCTCCAACCCCCGCTGTAGCCCAGCCTAGGTATAGTATTTTAATCAAGGTATATCGCCTACCTGCCCTCGCAATGGATATACTTCCCTCCTCGTCTTTACTTAAATGAAGCACCCAAACCACGGCTGCCACTAGCCACTGTTTCTCCCGGTTTATTGCACCCACTCTGATTGATAACACATAGTACTGTCTCTCTCTTATTGGCTACGACCACCGTGAGAATAATAATAATAACAACGAAGTCATGAAAGTCTTTCCACAGACTAGGCTAAAAAAATGGCCAATGTTGTCAAGCAAATCTGACTGTCGGCACAGTAAAGATAAAGGACAAACAGCATGGAGAGCTGGAGTAATGCGGAAACTTGCGGTCCCGTGCCTAACCGAGGGAGTTCGGAATGTGTGTTCTGCATGTACACGTGATGCGCTATGGCAAGTACATAATATCAGTCTGTTGGTGAGTTGATAACTTCACTTACCGTGCCATGCACGGAAACTTATTTTTTTCTAAACATCCTAGGTGGAAACTTCTAATCAGTGCACCGTAATACCTGTGTACAGAAATCCTACATTCATCGGCCAGTACATAATGTTAGACTTTTATTGTTTGTTGTGAAAAGAAGAAGGACAAAAGTCACAAAATGTAACGAGTTATGACTAACTGTCCACCAATTTAACCAGATTTTATACTGTCAGTGAGTGCGACAAAATGGCACAAAACTGACAAGGAGTACTGAGACATTCGGCAACCTGACACCTAGCTCCAACACTTCTCCAAGGCGCAAACCAACAACCTTCCAACTTGGAAGGCTCAGGTTCGGAAATGTCCAAGAGGGGAAGGAAAGCGCAACAAAGGAGAGCACGAGCTACGCATGACGGCAACAAAGAATGCCGAAAGTTACTGGATGATGATGAAACTAGTAAGACTATTGGACATACCGGCCTTACTACAACTCGATGACGCAAAGCAACAGACAACGCAACTTGGGAGGCTCAAGTTTATGTAATAAACGTAGAAAGGGGAAGCTAAGCGAAGACGAATTGTGACAAACCGAAACGTCAACATCCTACTGAAATCCACTATCATGTATGATGGACTAGTTATGTACAATAACAATTAGTTCCACACGACGTACTTTTCGCCGTATATGTCATGCCGGCTAATCAGGTCTGCAAAATTTAACTCGGATGGGGAGCCAATTGAAATATTGTGAAAAGAAGAAGGACAACGAACCTGAGCCTTCCAAGTTGGAAGGTTGTTGGTTTGCGCCTTGGAGAAGTGTGGGAGCTAGGAGTCAGGTCGCCGAATGTCTCAGTACTCCTTGTCAGTTTTGTGCCATTCTGTCGCACTTGCTGACTGTATTAGATCTGGTTACGTGGGTGGACAGTTAGTCATAACTCGTAACATGTTGTCCTTCTTCTTTTCACAATATTTTAATTGGGTCACCATCCGAGTTAAATCTTATTGTTCTCAACAATAATTATAAGGTTAATTTCGTGAGTAACTTGGCGGATCGAGCAAAATGCATCTGCTCCGCTTCTAAGCTCGTTGAGGAACTGGACTTCCTAGAGACAGTTTTTCTCAAGAATGGGTATCCTGAAAAACCTTTTTGAAGAAATTCATGAGCGAAAGGGTGAAAAATAAAGAAAGTACATGTACGTTTTGACAGGTAACCTGTCCTGATCTATGAGTTTATGCTACGGACAATTGTACAACAAACTTACTACGCGGTGAATTTTGTACCCGTTTTCACAACTGTACGTGTGTTCATGGT